AGGGAAACACACTTTGGCACGGTTTTGAAGTTTGTACTTTTTTCAAAAAAGCCAAATGTTTAAGGTCTGCTTGGTGTCCGCCATTTGTGGCAGTTGGTGAGTTCTTTGGCTTATTTCTTGTTTGTTCTTTTTTGTCATGGCTCATTCTTCATTGCTATGCCATTGTTGTGTTCCTTTTCATGAGGGGAACGCACTTTGGCACGGTTTTGAAGTTTGTAGTTTTTTAAAAATAGCCAGATTTTCAAGGTCAGCTTGGTGTCCGCCATTTGTGGCAGCTGGTGAGTTGTTTGGCTTATTTCCTGTTTGTTCTTTTCTTGTATTGCTCAGTCTTCACTGCTATGCCATTGTTATGTTCCTTTTCATGAGGGGAACACACTTTGGCACGGTTTTGAAGCTTGACGTCTCTTCTGCCTCCGACTTTTTGCGCTGCGTTCCGCAGTCGTCATGTTTTCAAAGATGTTTTCGGGAACGTGATGCAAATTGTAGGTAGGCATGCAAACTAGTAACAGCTATATTACTATTATTATCTATCCTATATAGATTTTTGTAATTTCCGCCGAGGAAGTGTGGCTGTTACCCCTGCTTTACCCTGCTTGATGCTTGAAGATGAGGATTCGTCCTCATCTAACACTTCGTCTGATAGTGAGATATCAGATGATGTTCTTAGTGAATTTAGTGTAGAGCTGTAAATATTTTTGTTGTTTTATACTGTTATAATTGTTAACTCACACGGGTTCATAACGTGTCTGAAGCACTGGTTGACTTTTTACTTACAAGTACTCATAACGACGTATTATTACGGGTTATTTGTTAACTACCGCTTGTTGGTTATGTTTTTACTAGTCTCAGTCTCTATTACTAGTCTTCATCACCACTACTAGTGATGATAGTGTTTCCAATTTCATCAATTCTCTCACCAGTTCTAGATATTTCCACTAATACGGGTCACTGTTTGTTGTGATGTTGAAGTTTGTTATTATTTACACTTACAATTTCGTTATAGTTACGGTTTTACACCTACTGGTATGTCACCTGCTCTGGTGTCTTTCCTAATACGCTAATATGGGATGGACAGACTGCATTCTATGCACTTTTTCAAATACTTACTGCTTTTTGACAGTGTTCTGTTTGTGCAATCTAGCATACTCTATTTCTTCATTACTCACTTCTCCTCACTGCGTTGTTCATTAACTATAATTGTTATTGTTGTTATTGTTTATTGATAAGTAACCATGTCTCATGAAACTAAAACGCTACCGAGGTGTAATAGTAAAAACATTGAAAAATCTACGAGTTTGTTAGTAACAAAAGCTGCACTTAAATCACATAGTCACGGCACCATAAAAATCAGGAGTTAATGAAGTGAAAAATTGTTTGTTAGTAACAAAAGAAAACCGTAGTACACACTGAAAGCGACTAGTGGGGAAAGGAACTGAATCAGAACATGGTACAGCAGCATGCAGTTCGCAGCAGAAGTCATTATAGTGGAAACGGAAGTCAAAGCGTGAACGCTCTGCAAAAGCAGTAAAAAGTTTGTAAAGAAGCAAACTAAGACACTGAAAAGCAACGAAACGGAACATGAAAAAGGGGAGTTCTACCTTGGCAACAGTGATAACTGAAGGCAGCGATAGGTAAAGCAGGGGTAACAGCCACACTTCCTCGGCGGAAATTACAAAAATCTATACAGAATAGATAATAATAGTAATATAGCTGTTACTAGTTTGCATGCCTACCTACAATTTGCATCACGTTCCCGAAAACATCTTTGAAAACATGACGACTGCGGAACGCAGCGCAAAAAGTCGGAGGCAGAAGAGACGTCAAGCTTCAAAACCGTGCCAAAGTGTGTTCCCCTCATGAAAAGGAACATAACAATGGCATAGCAGTGAAGACTGAGCAATACAAGAAAAGAACAAACAGGAAATAAGCCAAACAACTCACCAGCTGCCACAAATGGCGGACACCAAGCTGACCTTGAAAATCTGGCTATTTTTAAAAAACTACAAACTTCAAAACCGTGCCAAAGTGCGTTCCCCTCATGAAAAGGAACACAACAATGGCATAGCAATGAAGTTTGAGCCATGAAAAAAAGAACAAACAAGAAATAAGCCAAAGAACTCACAAGCTGCCACAAATGGCGGACACCAAGCTGACCTTGAAAACCTGGTTACAG